ACGCTCCTCCCCCCTGAACCCCGATCCCCTTGCAACCCTAACCCCCGGCCCCAAGCTCCTCCCCTGAACCCCGATCCCCCTGCAGCCCTGAGCCCCCCCAGCCCCAAGCTCCTCCCCTCTAACCCCGATCTCCCTGCAGCCCTGACCCCCCAGCACACACCCCTGAACAACATCCCCCTACAGCCTTATCCCCCTGGTCTCTGAACCCTGACCCCCCCAGCCCCCAATCTATCCCCCTGAACCCCAATCCCAAATCCCCCAGCTCTTGAACCCACAAAACCACCCACCCACCTCCTGAACACCTCCAAAGCCTGGCCTCCCAGCCCCCAGTCCATCCCCCAACCTCCTGCAACCCTGATCCTCTGGGCCCCAATCCACCCGCCTGATGCCGGCTCCCAAACCCCCAGAACCTTAATCCACACCCCTAAATCTCCCTGAACCCCAATCTCCTGAGCCCCCCAGTTCCCAAACCCTTGTCTCCCCATCGCTAACCCTGTCCCCTAAGCTTCAGTTCACACCCCTGTAAGCCTCGATCTCATCTCCTGCACAGCCACCCCCCAAGTCACCCTGAACCGCCAGCTTCTGAACTCCCCGATGCCCAGCCCCCCAGAACTCCAAACTATGCCCCCAGCCCCAGCCCCTCCGTGACCCTGGGTGCCCCAGCCCTCGGGCAGCTGCCCCCCGCCCCCGCCGGGCTCTCTGACCCCCTCCTTGCCCCCTGCAGCCCAGTCCGTCCGCATGGTGGTGTCCTACGCCGAGTACCAGCCCCACCTCGTTGACCAGGCTGCCCTCATGCTCAGCGTCTCGGGGAAGGTGGCTCAGACCGGGCAGGTACTCGCCAAGCAGCACAGCTTCCGCCTTCGCACGCCGGACCTGACGCTCACGGTAAGGGGCCCGGACGCCTGGGTTCTCTCACCATGGGGGGAACCTGTCGCTCCTGGTAAGGGGCCCAGACACCTGGGTTCTCTGACTACCTGGGGGCCCAGACACTGGTGTTCCCTGACTTTGGGGGGTGGCCCGGTCGCCTAGGTTCTCTGACTGTGGGGGTTGCTCGGATGCCTGGGTTCTCTGACTGCCAGGGGACCCAGACACCGATGTTCTCTGACTAGTGGGGGGCAGCCCAGACACCTGGGTTCTCTCACTATGGGGGGACCTGATGCTCACAGTAAGGGGGCCCGGACGCCTGGATTCTCTGACTGTGGGCGATGGCCCAGATCCCTGGGTTCTCTGACTGCGGGGGGAAGCCTGGACACCTGGGTTTTCTGACTGTGAAGGGCAGCCTGGACGCCTGGGTTCTCTGACTATTGCGGGGACCTGATGTTCATGGTAAGGGGGCCGGGACGCCTGGGTTCTCTCACTAGGGGGAGACCTGATGCTCACAGTTAGGGGGCCTGGACACCTGGGTTCTCTGACTGTGGGGGGAGGCCCAGATGCCTGGGTTCTCGCACTGCAAGTGCAGGTGGAAAGAGGGGACTCAGATACCTGGGATTGCTTGGAGGCGGGGGGCTGTGTGTGGGAGGTCGAAGCTGGCCCGGAAACCTGGGTTCTCATCTCTCTCTCTCTCTCTCTCTTCTCTCTCTCTCTCAGGTGCTGGGCCCAGCTGTGGTGGGGAAGGAGACGCAAGTGCAAGTCGTCTTCAAGAACCCGCTGCCCCAGACACTGAAGAGTGCTGTCTTCCACATGGAGGGGTCGGGGGTGTCCAGCCCCAAGGCCACCAACATAGGGTGAGTGATCCCACACTCCCCTCTGCTCCCACTCCTCTCTCAGGGCCAGGGATGGAATCCAGGAGTCCTGGCTTCCATCATCCCCCTGTTCTAACCTCTAGACCTCACTCTCCTCCCAGAGCCAGGGATGGAACCCAGGATTCCTAGCACTCAGCCCCTTCCCCCTGCTCTAACCACTAGACTCCCCTTCCACTTCCAGGACTGGTATGGAACCCAGGCATCCTGACCCATTCTCCTCTCCCCACAGGACCATCGGCGGGCACCAGACGATCTCCTTCCGCCAGACCTTCGTGCCGCTCCGGGCCGGGCGGCGCCAGCTGGTGGCCAGCCTGGACAGCCCGCAGCTCTCCCAAGTCCACGGGGTGGTGACCGTGGATGTGGCCCCGGCTGCAGGGAGCCAGCCGGCCCCTGCTCGCAGCTCCCCAGCCCGCAACT